CAATATTGCGAAAGGCTGACGCGTCCAAAACGGTCCGTCGGCGGGCGGGGCGTCTACGCGTAAGCGGCAACAGAGGGAGTGGTGGCACTAAGTAATCAATATACAACGGGAGTAGAAAAATATGGACAACAAGAAGAGCGGCGCCAGCCTCAATAATTTGCAACCGAAAAACTCTGCGAGCATATCAAGCGCCACAGGGGTCGCAAGAAGCCCAAACCCGTAAAGAGTGCGCTGGAAGGTCTGCACAGACTCGCAGCGAGAGGGAGCCTCGAAGCCTAGCGGCCTCGTGTCGCGGTCTGGCTCAATACCTCCCCAGAATCTGGCGCGGCACGCGCATGGGCCTCCGTGGCTTGCCGTCGCTGAGAGAAGCTGGCCCGAAATGACGACCCGGACGCCCGGCTGCTAATGATGTAGGCGAGTGAAAGAAGCCATTTTCTTTGGCGCAAGGGGCCACGGAGTCAACGATCGGCGCCGACACTTGCCGCCGCCCCTGGGTCCCAGCCCTTAAAGCCACTTCTCCTGGCCTCTTTGTGGATTCGTTCCAGCCTATTGTGCTCACAGAGGCCGCTGAGGTGCAAGAATAGAAAAAGTGCGCCCACCATGCCGGGGCGAGAAGAACCAACCCACGCGCCACGCTTTTCACATGCCGCGCCACGCGCCAGAAGGAGTGGACCGGGCTCAGCCGCTTTGTGCGTGGCACCGGTGCGCGCACCCTCACCCGAGACACGCGAACAACGGCCAACACCCCGCAGGCACGTGGCGGCAACCCAGTCACCACCGGCCCCCTCGCCAGTGCGGCCCAGTAGCACACCCTGACGCCAATTCACAAAACGACTCCACGACTGAAGCCGGCGAAACGTCCTGCCCACACTAAGGGCCACTTTCGGCGTTTTCCCCGATCGCTTAGGCTGTTGGCGCCTGGTGTCCGTGACCTGCTTCTTCAGTCTTGGTGTCGGCCTCTCCTGACAACGCTTTAAAACACGGGCGAATGCTTCTAATTCACTCGCATTCGGGCTTTGGGGTTGAGGCTAGTTCTTGTTCCTTCCGTAGAAAAAAGTAAGCACTAAGCACAGCAAGCCTTGCACCAAGGAACTTTTTGCAGAGTAACCACGCAGCAATGTTGGTCGCGTCTTTGGGCGACGGACGCCACTTGTATTGCTACAAATCGGAAGCAAGCTAATCCGATCGTCCACCTAGACTTGTACTCTAGATTTAATTATGTGGGTCACACTAGTATCACTTTTCTCTCAATATGACAGTGTCGACTTCAAAACCACCATGCTGATCCTGTCCTCCTAAGAGAAGTAAGCCAATCGCGAAGCAACACAACCACGCAGAACTATTTTTAGAGCTCACTACGAAGCATCCATCCCGAAGACTATCCTGGAACCGTTTTTCCGTCGAAAACGTCTCCAACATGCTTCCGGAGATGGAGTAGGGTTAGCCTTAGTATTTCCATCGCATTTAGTGCCCACCGGTAGTAACAAAACGTTCCGGTGGGAAGATCCGCTGTAGCCCTCGGCTTAGAGGCGTCGTGTATTATTGAGGACGATCATAACAATGATGATGCACCGAACAAGGAGCATCTAGAGAGGCCACCATGGAAGAGGATGGGTGAAAAAAGGATTTCTTTTCAGTCATCCACTGGAAAAAAATCAGAATAGATTCGATTGACGGGGATCGGGATCCCTCTGTAGAGAAGCCTTGTTGAAGAGTCCATCTGCCTAGTATGAACTCGTTTCCGTTTGCTCATCATCATCATGATCATGATTGTATACGTAAACGTATACATGTTCCAGGGCTCAGGGCGGGAGGCCCCCCCCCGATCTAACTTTTTGAAGGGGGGGGGGGCCGTAGGGTCGAGAAAGGGACCCTTTGGGCTTTACGGGATTTCTAGTCGTGCTTAGTTGAGGGAAGACCAGAAATCCCGTGAAGGTGGGAGCTTTGTTCGGAGCTTTTGCGGGGGTTTCTAGTCGTGTTTAATTGAGGGAAGACCAGAAACCCCGTGAAGTTGGGAGCTTTGTTGGGGGCGTTTGACGTGGCGGACGATGGGCAGCAGCGTTCCCCTTGTAGGTGAGTGCCAGTCTTAACCTCCAGAGGGGACGCGGAAAATGTCCACAAGACGGCGAGGGGGAAAAGTTCCTTCGGCCGAAGTTCGCAGAGCTTGGCAGAAAATGCGGCAGAAAGTCCAAGAGGAAGGGGCGGCAGAAGTGTTCTGGGTGGCAGAAAAATGCGGCAGAAAGTCCAAGAGGGGGGCCGAGAATGTTCCCGATTTTCAGAAAATGCGGCAGAAAGTCCAAGAGGGGGGCGGAAAGTGTTCCCGGGTGGCAGAAAGTCACGGAGGGGGGTGGAAAATGTTCCCGGGTAGGCAGAAAATGCGGCAGAAAGTCACAGAGGGGGGCGGAATAGGTTCCCAGTTGACAGAAAATGCGGCAGAAAGTCAACCAGGGGGGCGGAGAATGTTCCGGAGGCGGCAAAACCTGGCAGCAAATCAACGGAGGGAGCAAACCGGGCAGAGAATCAACCTAGGGGGCGGCAAGATGTTCCCCAGGCGGCAAACCTGGCAGAAATTTTACAAAGGGGCGCGGAAAATGTTCCCGAGGAGGTGGCAAACCTGGCAGAAAATCAACCCGGGGGGCGGAAAATGTTCCCCAGGCAGCAAACCTGGCAGAAAATCAACAAAAGGGCGGCGGCAAAATGTTCCCGAGGCGGCAAAACCTGGCAGAAAATCACTCAGGGGGGCAGAAAGTGTTCCCGAGGCAGCAAACCTGGCAGAAATTCAACAAAAAAAAAAGGGCGGCTGAAAAATGTTCCCCAGGCGGCAAACCTGGAAGAAACAAAGTCGACCAAGGGGGTGGAAAGTGTTCCCCAGGCAGCAAGCCTGGCAGAAAGTCAACCAGGGGGGCGGAAAATGTTCCCGAAGCAGCAACCTGGCAGAAAATCAACCAAGGGGGGCGGACAGTGTTCTTCCCGAGGCGGCAACCTGGCTGAAAATCAACCAAGGGGAGTGGAAACTTTCCCCCGGGCAGAAATTGAAGCAGAAAAGGGACGGGGGTGGAAACTTTCCCCCGGGCAGAAATTAAAGCAGAAAAAGGGACGGGGGTGGAAACTTTCCCCCGGGCAGAAATTGAAGCAGAAAAAGGGACGGGGGTGGAAACTTTCCCCCGGGCAGAAATTGAAGCAGAAAAGGGACGGGGGTGGAAACTTTCCCCCCGGTCAGAAATTGAAGCAGAAAAGGGACGGGGGTGGAAACTTTCCCCCCGGGCAGAAATTAAAGCAGAATAGGGACGGGGGTGGAAACTGTCCCCCCCGGGCAGAAATTAAAGCAGAAAAAGGGACGGGGGTGGCAACTTTCCTCCCCGGGAAGAAATTGAAGCAGAAAAGGGACGGGGGTGGAAGCTTTCCCCCCCGGGCAGAAATTGAAGCAGAAATAAAGGGACGGGGGTGGAAACTTTCCCCCCCGGGCAGAAATTAAAGCAGAAAAAGGGACGGGGGTGGAAGCTTTCTTCCCCGGGCAGAAATTAAAGCAGAAAAAGGGACGGGGGCGGAAACTTTCCCCGACGGGCAGAAATTAAAGCAGAAAAAGGGACGGGGGTGGAAACTTTCCCCCCCGGGCAGAAATTAAAGCAGAAAAGCTACGGGGGTGGAAACTTTCTCCCCCGGGCAGAAATTGAAGCAGAAAAGGGACGGGGGTGGAAACTTTCCCCCCCGGGCAGAAATTAAAGCAGAAAAAGGGACGGGGGTGGAAACTTTCCCCC